GGGGGGGAAAGGGGGGAAGGACTTTTTCGTGATCTGTGCTCTGTTTTGGACTTGTGATTTGCGTGAGAAATTTGCAGGGAAGATTCACAAGAACGGCAGTAGCAAAATCAGTAGTTTGAGCTTGTGGCGCGATGATCCTTGGAGGATAAGCACACTAATTACACTCAGCATGAGTGTCATCGTCATCCCTCTGGTCCACGTGGCGGCTGCGCATCTACTGCTGCTTGACAGTTAATGGAGAGGGTGTGCTGACGTGGCAGGCCGCTAGACGGTAATTGGAATTGGACCAGGGGGGATGAACTCGGAGGGGTGTGGGAGAATGGAGTACACTCAGCACGAGGGGCATGATCGGGCTTCTTGTGTTGCCACGTGGCTGCTGTCCTTCTGGGTGTGCTGACGTGGCACACGATGCTGGAACGTTCGTGGGATCATGGACGATGAACTGTGAGAGACTGAGAGCTGTGTGCTGACGTGGCAGCTGAAACTTAATTGGACCAGTTTGGGCTTTGATGGGACCAGCTGAGAGTTGTCAACTGGACCAGGGGGGGATAATGAAGTCCGAGGGCGGTTGCTGACGGGGCAGCTGGATGTTAATTGGACCAGGGAGTATGGACTCCCAAGGGGTGTGCTGACGTGTCAGCTGGACGTTGATTGGACCAACTACTAGAGGGTGTGCTGACGTGTCAGCTGGACGTTGATTGGACCAACTACTAGAGGGTGTGCTGACGTGTCAGCTGGACGTTGATTGGGCCAGCCGGGCCTTCATTGGACCAGGGGGGATGTTGGACTCCGACGGGTGTGCTGACGTGGCAGCTGGACATGAATTGGACTCCCGTCTTCCCCCGAACTCAGCGCACCCTCATTTTGGCTGTACCGGACCGGAAATATAGCTTGTATGCATTCATTTTCAGGGTGCGTTGTGTTCGGGGGAAGACGGTAGCTGGACGTTGATTGGACCAGTTGGACGCTGATTGGATCAGCTGGACGTTGATTGGATGAACCAGCTGGACGTTTTAAGAGTGAACCAGCTGGATGTTAATTGAACCAGCTGGATTTTAATTGGACCAGGAACGAGGACACTCAGCATGTCATTGAGCGTATCTGGCCCTAATTTCTTTTATTCCACGTGGCATCATGGCTGCCCCCCTCCTTTATGCCAACTAATGGATGGCGGTGCTGACGTGTCAGCCAGCTAGTAAACGCTCATTGCACCAGAGACACAGAGAGAGAGAGGATCATCAACTCAAAGCCTCTTAGAGGGACACGTGTCAGATAGCGGCAGATTGTTGGCTTCCATTAAATCCACTTTATTTATTGATTTGATCACACTTTTCTTCTTTTTCTTTTTTTTTTTTTCCTTTTTTTTTCACGAAGGATTGTGAGCTGAGGGCTTGTCCTGTCTACGGTAGCAGAGAGCCGGCAGTTGCGTCTTTCTGCGTTTTCTTTGGAATTAATTTACAATTTTTTATTTTTTTTTTATTTTTTTGGGGGGGGGGGGGGGGGGGGGGGGGGGGAGATACTTATGTTTTTCTAGTAAACATTTCTTTTTTAAGACTGTGAGGACCCCGGCCTCAAGACATTTATTCGAAATATAAGCCTTGGGCACTGGGCCCCTGATTTGTTTTTAAAAAAAAAAAAAAAAAAAAAAAAAAAAGCACTTCTTTTTTTTTGTCGTCTTCTTAAAGTAAATGCATTCACGTGGCTCCGGAGAGAAGATGAAGGGGAAAGCAAAGTCAAACGACGTCTGACTCGAGTGCGAGAACACGTAACCACGCGTGCGCTTTCATGCACGAGATAGCGAACAATATGACATTGTGAAGAATGTGGAAACAGGTCTCCTTAAGATAAGCCAACAAAACAAGAGAAGATGGTAGTAGGGCTTTTGTTTTTTTTTTT